AGTGAATTCTCTGTAACTTGAAGTCTTTAAATCATGATTTGAGTACTTCAGTAACTCAGCAAGAGCTTAGGGGTCTATTACAGGAGTGGGTGGGCAAGGTCCTGAGGCCTGCAACGTGTAGGAGGTCAGACTAAATGATCATGATGGTCCCTTCTCACCTTAAAGTCTATGAATCTATAAGTTAAAATAGACAAACTATTTACAAGTATTTTATGTTACAGTTTATACATGGAGTCAAGGACACAATTCTGACTTTGCAACAGCAATCAGTCTTCAACAAGTTAAAGATCTGAGCACATTCTTGTTGAAAAACGCTTGAACTATATGGTTATGGTCCCCTCCATTAAAAAAAAAAATCAAATGGAGTGGGCTTCCAATATTCCTTTTTTTTATCACTAGTTCTAGATTAATAAAAAATAATAATTCTGGATAAATATAGTGAAACCTGCACTAAGGACCATTTTCAAATGGTTTGTCTATTTAATAGTACCACAGGTGACTATTTTTTCTGATCTCTGATGTTCTTTTGCGGCAGGCTTTATTGCACAAGAAAAAAAAATCCATAAGGACTCACTCTTTTTTTATTGGTTTAATGTTAAGAGGAATGAGTGGAGGGTTGGGAATGAGGAACTCTAAATTCTAATCAGAGTTCTGCCACTTGCTTGCTGTGTGACTTTGACCAAGTCAATTAATATTTTATTCTATATGCCCATCTCTAAAATGGGAATAACATTTACATACCTACTTTATAGAGGTGCTATGATGATTTGTTAATGATTGCACAGTACTTTGAGCACATAAAATGTGCTCTAAGTTTTAGATATCAGTATGCTAAATATGTGGATGTTCTTTCAAATGGTACCCTTTAAAATACCATCTAAAACTCATTTCAAAGATTAGTAGGAACCTAATGGAAAGAATCCTTGTTTTAATTGGGTAAAAGTTAGTGTTCTATCTTTTGGAAATATCCAAGTCTGTCCCCATAGTGAAAGTAGTTAATTAGGGTAAATACTTGCTATGGTGAAGGTGGTCAGGAACTTCGGAGGAAGGGATCGGGATCTGATACAAATCAAGATGCTAAGGAAAAGAGGACAGGAGAACAGCAAAACAAGACACCAGACTTCAGAAAGGTAGATTGCAACAACTCAGAGAAATAGTAGGCAACGTTCCATGAAAAGACCAATTAGGAAGTACAGGAGTTGAAGGGGGCTAGCAGTTCCTAAAAGATGCAATACTAGAGGCTCAACATCATGCTATTCCAATGCAGAGGAAAGATAAGAGCTACAGGAGGCCAATGTGGTTGCACAAGAACCTTTTTAGCTATCTAAAAACCCAAATGGATACATACAGGGAATGGAAAGAGGGCCAAATCATCAAGGAAGTTAAGTATATGTAGGAATAGCGCAAGTGTGTATGGACAAAATCAGGAAAGCAAAGGCAAAGAATGAGTTATAGCTGGCAAGAAATGTTAGAGACAACAAGAACAGGGTTCTTCAAATAAGTCAGACATAAAAGAAAGATCATGGATGGTGTGGGTCTGTTGCTCAATGGAGAAGGTAATTTGTTAACTGAAGATGATAGGAAGTCAGAGCTGCTCAATGCCTACTTTACTTCAGTCTTCTCGCAAAAAACAACTCGTGACTGGACAACTAGTCAAATTACTACAGACAAGAAAGGGGAAGGGATGCAGATTAGGATAAGTAAAGAACATGTCAGATCTTCTGACCAATTTGAATGAATTCAAGTCAGCAGGGGCTGATGCTATTCTCCCCAGGGTACTGAAGGAATTAGCTGAGGAAACTCATGGATGACAGGACTGGTCCTGGAAGACTGGAGAAGGGCTAACATAGTGTTCATCTTTAAAGAGGGGAAAAAGAAGGAGTCAAGAAACTGTAGACCAGTCAGCCTGACCTCGATACCTGGGAATCTACTAGAACAATGTATAAAACATTCAATTTGTGAATACCTGGAAGATGAAGGGGTAATCATTAGCAGCCAGCATAGATTTACTAAGAACAAATCATGCCAAACCAGCTTGATTTCCTTCTTTGATAACTGGTTTGGTGGATAGGGGGAATGTGATGGACATAAAATATCTGGACTTCAGCAAGGCTTTTGAGACAGTCCCACATGGATAAGTAAGCTGGAGAAATGCAGGCTCAGCAGAACTACCATTAAGTGGCTACATAACTGGTTAAACAACTGCAAACAAAGAGTAACTATTAATGGAATGATGTCAGATTGTAGGGAGGTCTCAAGTGAGGTTCCACAGGGATCTGTTCTGGGTCTGGTGTTGTTTAACATCTTTATTAATTACCTGGATGTAGGAATAGAGCATACTGATCAAGTTTGTAGATGACAAAGCTAGGAGGGCTTGCCAACACTTTGGAGGATAGAGCTAAAATTCAGAGGGATCTTGATAAATTGGAGAATTGGGCAATAGACAAAATTAAATTCAGCATAGACGAATGTAAGGTGCTACACATAGGGAAGGAAAACCAAATGCAGAATGGGGGATAACTGGCTTTGCAGCAGCACTGCTGTGAAGGATTTGGGAGTTGTGGTGGATCACAACCTCAACATGATTCAGCAATGTGACGCTATTGCAAAAAAAGTGAATGCATGTTTAGGTTGCATTAACAGAGGCATAACATGCAAGTCACGGGAGGTGATAGTACCACTCTACTCAGCGTTGGTTAGGTCTCCGCTGGCGTGCTGTGTCCAATTTTGTTCACCAAAGTATAGAATGGATGTTTGTAGATAAACTGGAAAGGATCCAGAGGCGAGCAACAAAGATGATTAAAGGGACAGAATGCAAGCCATATGAGCAAAGGCTGAAGGAACTGGGTATGTTAATTTGGAAAAGAGGAGATTAAGGGGAGACATGATAGCCATCTTCAAATACTTGAAAAGCTTCCATAAAAAGATGGAGAAAACTTGTTCTCTCTTGCCACAGAGGGAGACAATGGGTTTAAACTATAGCATAGCAAATTAGATTAAATCTCAGGAAAAACAGTAGGACAATAGAACAGACTGCTTAGAGAGGTAGTGGAAGTTCCTTCACTGCAGCTTTTAAAAAGGAGGCTAGATAGACATCTGTCTTGGATGATTTAGACAACAAATCCTGCTTCTTGCCAAAGGGTTAAGACTAGATGACCCTTGCGGTCCCTTTTAACCCTATAATTCTATAAATTTTCTTCAAACATAATACCTATTTGTACTTTGGAAGGATTTTTAAGTGCAAAATAAACAATCAAGTGTTAAAATATGTGGGTTGGAATGCTCACTCCTCCTTCTAGTTGTCAAAGGCTAGAGGAACTGGAAATAAGACTGCAGTAATTGTTAGCTGCAAAGTGGCAGCAAAAGGGCTTTCTTCATAGCCCTCATGACACTGCTATTCTTGTCCTAAGAGAAAATGCAAAAATACCAAACTAACTACTGCATATAGATGGTAAGCAGGCAGAACACAGACTGGGGTCCCAGTGCAATGAGAAAAATGAAAAATGTTCTAAGAACCTACATAACTATTGCTTGCTACTGTCTAGACCAGTGGTTTTCAAACTTTTTTCCTGGGGACCCAGTTGAAGAAAATTGTTGATGTCCACAACCCAGCGGAGCTGAGGATGAGGGGTTTGGGTGAGGGGCTAAGGGCTGGTGCAGAGAGTTGGGGTGCGGGGGTGAGGGCTGCAGGGTGGGGCCGTGAATGAGGGGTTCAGGGTATGGGAGGAGGCTCTGGACTGGGGCAGGGAGTTGGGGTGCAGGAGGGGGTCGGGGCTCTGGGCTGGGGGTGCAGGCTCTGGGGTGGGGCCAGGGATGAGGAGCTTGGGGTGCAGGAGGGGGTTCTGGGTTTCAGGGGGCTCAGGGCTGGGGCAGGGGATTGGGGCGTGGAGTTGCGGTGTGAACTTACCTCCGGAGGCTCCCAGTCAATGGCGTAGCCGGGGTGCAGAGGCAGGCTTCCCGCCTGCCCTGGCACCGTGGACCGCACTGCGCCTGAAGTGGCCAGCAGCAGGTCCAACTCCTAGACGGAGGTGCGCAAGTGGCTCTGTGCAGCTGTCGCCCACAGGCATGCGCCCCCCCACCCCAGCGGAGTGGTGCTCGGGGTAGGGGCAGCACACAGAGCCCCATGACTCCCCCTACCTAGAAGCCGGGCCCACTGCTGGCCGCTTCCGGGGCGCAGCACGTTGTCGGAACAGGTAGGCACTAGCCTGCCTTAGCTGGGCAGCACCGCCGACAGGACTTTTAACATCCTGGTCAGTGGTGCTGACCAGACCGACCCAGTGCCTTACATTCCGTGACCCAGTACTGGGTCGTGACCTGAACTTTGAAAAACGCTGATCTAGACAAGCGAAGAAATAGAAAAGGCCTTTCATTCCAAACCAGTGAATTTTCATTACATTTAGTGTATTTTAGTGCTCATTCAAAGTGCAAAATTAAGAGACTTAAAAAGTGACAACCTATAATTACTCAAACATGTCAACATGCACAGTGACAGTGAAAGCTTACCCACTCTACCCTGTCAGTGTGCCTTGACCCTGGCCTGGAGGGACTACCTTTTGCTGATGGAGGATAATCCAGTTTCCATACCTATTTAGACTATGCCATTTATCCTGATTATCAACATGGATGCCAGTTAGTGCCAATTATGATGGTGGGTTTAAAAGAGATGAAAACATGTTTATTACAACATAAAAAACATTCATTTTATACATACTAATCATCAGCTATAAGTAATTGCCACTTCCCACCATGACTGGATTCACACCAGCTCTAGAAACGGTTGATTCACACTAGAAACAGTTGAAAAAGTTCTTTAGCATGTCACCACTCAATCTTTAAACCAACCAATATCAACCATCCAATTTCTCCTGTTACCAAAACTGGTGGATTGGAGGATGCAGGGTTTTTTTTTTTTTTAAATCTCTTTCAAGCTTTATCTGAATTTTACAAGTTCTATTTTTTCAACGTGTATATGAATCTATTTAAGAAATGGGAATGCTTACCTGAACAAGAAAAATGATGAGAAAATAAAAGTTAGCTATCCTTCTGAACTGCTCAAACAAGTTCTTCGGTACAAAGTTCCAAAATGTGTACTAAAAAAAAATGTAAAGAGCATTTAAGTATTTATGATGATAATGCTGTTTTCTCTAACATTGCATGCCCTGGCTACATCACTAACAGCACCAAAATATATACAAGTACTTTTAAGAATCAAACAAGCTTAAAATTCACAAACTAAGTTTAAATATTAAATGCAAATTAGAAGAAATTTTTGTTAATTTATTTAGGCAAATATACTTATATGCAATTGGCATTCGTGCATTCTTGAAATCATACAGTTAATAACTGAAATTCTATCTAACATGGCTACCTGAAGCAGAAGTCTAGCACTCCACAGTTTCATTCAGAAATATTTGACCTCTGGACATCTTGGTACTATGGACTAAAATAAGTTTTTATGGCAATGATACCCAGATATTTAGTTAAGGTATATTTAGTTGAAAGCCACTGAAAAACATTTAAAATATTAAAACAATTGCTTCTAATGCTGTATTTAATTAATCTCCATTTTGTTTTTTCATTTATGCTAAACCTGCTTTGACAGCAAGTCAGGGACAAAACCAAAAGGTATCAGCCCCCTTTATGTTCTTTCGTTTTGTTACACATGCATCCCTCAGAACAATCAAGAGCACCAACAGTTTATGGTTGTAAAACCTTTATTTAACGATGTTATATATAGCAAAACTGTAATGAATATAATGTGACACACAAATTACAGAATATGAAAATGCAAATAAAGACTATATAAAAACTTATAATTTTCTCTTGGAGATCCAGTGTGGAGAGAAGTGGAGGCAAAAGAGGGAATGATTTGAGGAGGGAGTCAAAAGCAGCAAAAAATGGCTGTGACTGTACACGTGGAATTCAATTAAGTTGGAGAAGTAGAGCTGTTTATCTAAGAGGATGGCAGAACTAATTGGTAATTAAGTCAGTCAGCCTGGTCATGAGATTTCTGCCAGAGATGCTCTTCAGCACAAAAGCTGGCACATAGGAGCAGATGTCAGCAGACAATACAACATCAACCCTGGTGAATTGGAAGTCACAAAATGGCCAAGTGATAGGGTGTAGAGGAGGAGGGAAGAGGTTGATGGGTGATGCTGAAAAGGAGACCAGCTGGTAGCTGGATCGGATAGAGGGAACTCAGCAACAGAAAGAGCAGTGCTTGGTGAAGATCAAGTCAAGTGAATGGCCATCTTGGGGAGTGGGAATGTGGAAACAGGACGGCAGGTCAAGTGAAGATGTGATGGTAAGGAAATGTTCAGGTAAGGGGTTGGATAGGTCATCTACATGGGGACAAAAATCACAAAGGGTGAGTGTGGGAGACTGTAAGGAAAGTGAGAGAGAGAGAGAGTCAGAAGTCAAAATCATAGAGGCAGGCTGATGGGGAGGAGTTGGGTGAATGGTAGACGGCAACATGAAGGGGAACAAGAGTCGGATGCAGTGCTGTTCAAAAGAAAATGTGTGGGAAGGGGGGAGGGAGAGGTTGGAAATGGCAGAAATGGGAGAAGAGAAGCCCAACACCCCCACTATTGTCTGATCCAGCCAGGAGAGGCCTTCATAAAAGAGGACAGCTGCAGTGGCAATGTCAGATGAAGGGATCCAGGAGCTGGAGGGAGGGAGATATGAGGATGCTGTGTACGGCTGAGATCTTTTTAGAGATCGAGTGGGGGTTCCACAGACAGCAAGAGAAAAGGAAGGGGAGATGGGTAGTAGGTGGATGGGCGTGAGGTTAGAAATGGTGGCACAAGAGGGAAAAAGGTGGTGGAGAGGATTTGTGTGGAGGGAAGGCCAAGGTTGGGAAAATGTCACAAGAGGTGAGGAGGCAAAGGAGAATGTGGATGTGGGATCTGAGATCTGGATTTGTATTGATGGGAGAATGGGGAAGATGGGGATGGAGAAGGGAAGAAAAGCAAGGAGAGCTGGTGGAAACTTTATAAGGGTGAGGGTAACATGTACTGGGAAATGGAGCCAGTGGGGAAGAGGAGTAAGGGGGAAAAGTATGGCAGGTGCAATGATGCAGAAGAGGGGTGCAGCAAGAACCCTGGGTAATTGGAAGATAACACCTTTTTGTAATCTTGTCTATCTTGTTTTGAAATTGTCAGATGAAGGAGCTATAATTACAGGTATATTAGATTATCTGGGATTCTGATTTTCTGTTTAAAATTAAATATTAGAAAAAAAAACTGATTGAGAAATAAAACCAGAGTGACAAGTTTCCAACTAAATTCAAGTCCTGTTCATACTTTTGAGTTAAACTCAGCCTGCATTGCTTTGCTTTTTGTGCTTTCAGCAGCACACTTGGTTGCACATAGCAACACAATGGTAAGTGGTAGTTCTTTTATGTGTTTACACTCAGAATGGGAATGTAGATTGCAAAAATAATTGAGACTTCAAAAAAGCTTATGTTTTTATTTCATTGCTAACAAAACACCAATTTCTAATCAAATCTGTGAAATCACAATTCAAACAAACCCATAAAAATTTCTAATCTGTTACAAGGCTTTAATGTAGCTACAAACACAGAAAATGAATAAAAATAAAAACTGAAAATCAAAGTCTACTGCAAGTAAGTGTAATGTGAAGTTAAAATTCCAGTTAAGGACAAAGACTAACGAAAATAGAGGAGAAAGTCACTGCTTGAAAAGAAGCTACTAATGCCAGTTCTGGGGATAATAGTTATAACCTGCTGAGGATTGAAAGTGATGAGGAGACAGCGATGGGGGCATTCGGTTAGATTAATAAAATGATGATATATCCGAGACTGTGGGGAGAATATAAATCTTTCTCCACCTTTGCAGCTCTTAGTCTTTTCATCTCTTAGGTGATATTTTTAAAGAGAGGAGAGCAAGAAGATTTATTACCAACTCTTTAGCAACACTTAAAGAGGAGGGATTGCTAAAGAGAGGTTCTTTGGATTCCTGATCCCTGTTGTTGTCGTCATCTTTGGTCACTGTTGCTCTACAAGTGGCAAAATCTGCAGCTAAGTCATATATTCCAAAATATAGTCTCAGATAGGCCACCTGAAGGTTTACTTGAAACTCTATTTTCTACTATTTAAGCACTAAAACCTGAATGTGACCCGTCAGTTATATTAAATTTGGAGATGATGGTTTGTGGAAAGAGACGGATTTAAGTAATTCTACACTTCCATTGTTAAATTAGACTAACAGGAAAAAGTTATCCTTTTCAGATCTTATAGTCATCACTTCCTAATAAATCACTGTCTCTGCAGATTTATACAATTCTTCTCCAGTCCTTAGTTGCTATTGCATTCTCATAGGTAAGACAGCTATGGCTGATTGGGGAACGTAACAGAAATACTCAGTTTCAAAATAAGAGAATCTATTTACTTCCAAGTATTACCAAAGCAAATCAGACAAGGAGGAGAAACAATTACTTACACTACAAATGTAATGTGTCTGGAGTAAACAATTTTTTTTTCATTCCATCAAAATCAAAAATTAATTATAGAAGGAAAATATACATTTTTGATCTCCATTTTAACATATAGGGCTTTTTGATAGCACTAAACCGCCCCTAAAGACAGTTTATCAAGTCAAAATTCAACAGCTTATAGAATGACTTTTCTTCTGTAAGCGATTTTGAGTAATAATGTAAGTTGGAAGCATATTACCTTCAGTCTAGATACTTTATATGTCAGAATGGGAAAGCCAATTCAAATAGTTTAAATAAACAGACAAAAATATGAATTTTAGTCCTTTCCCCAAGGGTTTGAGATTGAGAGAAGTTCTGGATAAGATGACACCTTCCATTTTACAACCTCAGCACATCATCTCTCCAATCCCATATAGGCCTCTCCCTACTTTTCTACAATTTAACAGGTCTCAGGTGCCTCAAATATTATATATGCTTTTGCTTGAGCCAGATTTTTTTTATTTGTTATATTTTTAGAATAAAAGGGAACAGCATAATCGATTAGGAACCCTAGTGACTGAGGTAGCTCAGTTAGTATATAAAATTAATCCTTTAAATGCTTCCAAATATATCTATCCTTGATGAACTATGCACTGACACATTCCAGCTCAGGTGTAAATATACTGTTTCCATGGCTAAATTTTTTTTTTTAAATAAATACATGCAGCACAGACACCGCGTCAAAATCATCAGAATCCTTGCAAGAGCTACTCCTGGTGGAATTCTGCACCAACAAATTAAAAATTATGCGCAAAATATTTTAAAATTCTGAAAAATTCTGCATATTTTATTTGTCAAAAACAACAGCATATAATTACGCTAGTTTCAATTATTTTGGTAATTCATTTCAAAATACTCGTCACCGAGTATGTCTGTAACAACACAGACACACACAAAAATTCCCCTAGTAGTAGAGTGTTAAAGAAACTCCCACAACAATCCAGTTCCTGTTTCTCGACCCTCTCCCCCACCCAGAGCACAGCTGTGCCGCCCCCCCCTACCAGCCCAGACACCTGCACCCCTCCCCCACAGAGTTAGGGTTGCCAACAGCCCCATGGCACATGGGCGTCCAGGGAGGCTCCGTGCACTGCCCTCAGGCCCGCAAGCGCCACTCACACAGTTCCCATTGGTCACGGTTCCCGGCCAATGGGAGCTGCAGAGATGGCAATCGAAGCGGGGGCAGCATGCAGAACTTGCCTGGCCGCCCACGCGCCTAGGGGCTGCAAGGACCTTGCGGCCGCACGGAGCTAGGGCAGGCAGGAAGCCTGCCTTAGCCCCGGACCCCCGCTGCGCCACTGACCCGACTTCCAATGGCCCGGTTGGCAGTGCTGACCGGAGCCACCAGGGTTCCTTTTTGACCAGGTGTTCCTGTCAAAAACTGGACACCTGGCAACCCTACCCAGAGCCCAGCTGCAGACCTGCCCCAGCCCAGATACCCGTACCCTCTACCCCCACCCAGCCGTGGACCCACACACACACTCACACTCCCTCCCCCCCAGAGCCCAGGGATCCGGAGGGAGAAACAGCCTGATCCTGGGTCCCAGGCTCGTGTGAATTTTCCTGCATGCCACCTCCTTCCTTCAGGGCATGCCGGGAA